TTACCCTTCCCCCTCCCCATATCCTCAAGTCCATTCTCTAGTAGGTCTGTGTCTTTATTCCTGTCTAACTCCTAGGTTCTTCATGACATTTTTTTTTTCTTAAAATCCATATATATGTGTTAGCATACGGTATTTGTCTTTCTCTTTCTGACTTACTTCACTCTGTATGACAGACTCTAGGTCTATCCACCTCATTACAAATAGCTCAATTTCGTTTCTTTTTATGGCTGAGTAATATTCCATTGTATATATGTGCCACATCTTCTTTATCCATTCATCCGATGATGGACACTTAGGTTGTTTCCATCTCCAGGCTGTTGTAAATAGAGCTGCAATGAACATTTTGGTACATGACTCTTTTTGAATTATGGTTTTCTCAGGGTATATGTCCAGTACTGGGATTGCTGGGTCATATGGTAGTTCTATTTGTAGTTTTTTAAGGAACCTCCATACTGTTCTCCACAGTGGCTGTATCAATTTACATTCCCAACAACAGTGCAAGTGTTCCCTTTTCTCCACACCCTCTCCAGCATTTATTGTTTCTAGATTTTTTGATGATGGCCATTCTGACAGGTGTGAGATGATATCTCATTGTAGTTTTGATTTGCATTTCTCTAATGATTAATGATGTTGAGCATTCTTTCATGTGTTTGTTGGCAATCTGTATATCTTCTTTGGAGAAATGTCTATTTAGGTCTTCTGCCCATTTTTGGATTGGGTTGTTTGGTTTTTTGTTATTGAGCTGCACGAGCTGCTTATAAATTTTGGAGATTAATCCTTTGTCAGTTGCTTCATTTGCAAATATTTTCTCCCATTCTGAGGGTTGTCTTTTGGTCTTGTTTATGGTTTCCTTTGCTGTGCAAAAGCTTTGAAGTTTAATTAGGTCCCATTTGTTTATTTTTGTTTTTATCTCCATTTCTCTAGGAGGTGGGTCAAAACGGATCTTGCTGTGATTTATGTCATAGAGTGTTCTGCCTATGTTTTCCTCTAAGAGTTTGATAGTTTCTGGCCTTACATTTAGGTCTTTAATCCATTTTGAGCTTATTTCTGTGTATGGTGTTAGGCAGTGATCTAATCTCATACTATTACATGTACCTGTCCAGTTTTCCCAGCACCGCTTATTGAAGAGGCTGTTCTTTCTCCACTGTACATTCCTGCCTCCTTTATCAAAGATAAGGTGACCATATGTGCGTGGGTTTATCTCTGGGCTTTCTATCCTATTTCATTGATCTATCTTTCTGTTTCTGTGCCAGTATCATACTGTCTTGATTACTGTAGCTTTGTAGCATAGTCTGAAGTCAGGGAGCCTGATTCCTCCAGCTCCATTTTTCGTTCTCAAGATTGCTTTGGCTATTCGGGGTCTTTTGTGTTTCCATACAAATTGTGAAATTTTTTGTTCTAGTTCTGTGAAAAATGCCAGTGGTAGTTTGATAGGGATTGCATTGAATCTGTAGATTGCTTTGGGTAGTAGAGTCATTTTCACAATGTTGATTCTTCCCATCCAAGAACATGGTATATCTCTGCATCTATTTGTATCATCTTTAATTTCTTTCATCAGTGTCTTATAATTTTCTGCATATGTGTCTTTTGTCTCCTTAGGTAGGTTTATTCCTAGATATTTTATTCTTTTTGTTGCAATGGTAAATGGGAGTGTTTTCTTGATTTCATTTTAAGATTTTTGATCATTAGTGTATAGGAATGCCAGAGATTTCTGTGCATTAATTTTGTATCCTGCTACTTAACCAAATTCATTGATGTTCCTGTTCCCATTTTCTTAATTGTTTTGGTTTCGTTATTGTAGGTCTTTTCCTTCTCTTGTGTTTCTTGCCTAGAGAAGTTCCTTTAGCAGTTGTTGTAGAGCTGGTTTGGTGGTGCTGAACTCTCTCAGCTTTTGCTTGTCTGTAAAGGTTTTAATTTCTCCATCAAATCTGAATGAGATCCTTGCTGGTAGAGTAATCTTGGTTGCAGGTTTTTCTCCTTCATCGCTTGAAATATGTCCTGCCAGTCCCTTCTGGCTTGCAGAGTTTCTGCTGAAAGATCAGCTGTTAACCTTATGGGGATTCCCTTGTGTGTTATTTGTTGTTTCTTCCTTGCTGCTTTTAATATGTTTTCTTTGTATTTAATTTTTGACAGTTTGATTAATATGTGTCTTGGCCTATTTCTCCTTGGATTTATCCTGTATGGAACTCTCTGTGCTTCCTGGACTTGATTAACTGTTTCCTCTCCCATATTAGGAAGTTTTCAACTATAATCTCTTCAAAGATTTTCTCAGACCCTTTCTTTTTTTCTTCTTCTGGAACCTCTATAATTCGAATGTTGGTGCGTTTGACGTTGTCCCAGAGGTCTCTGAGACTGTCCTCAGTTCTTTTCATTCTTTTTTCTTTATTCTGCTCTGCAGTAGTTATTTCCACTATTTTATCTTCCAGGTCACTTATCCGTTCTTCTGCCTCAGTTATTCTGCTATTGATCCCATGTAGAGTATTTTTCATTTCATTTATTGTGTTGTTCATCGTTGTTTGTTTCATCTTTAGTTCTTCTAGTTCCTTGTTAAATGTTTCTTGCATTTTGTCTATTCTATTTCCAAGATTTTGGATCGTCTTTACTATCATTATTCTGAATTCTTTTTCAGGTAGACTGCCTATTTCCTCTTCATTTGTTAGGTCTGGTGGGTGTTTATATTGCTCCTTCATCTGCTGTGTGTTTTTCTGTCTTCTCATTTTGCTTATCTTACTGTGTTTGGGATCTCCTTTTTGCAGGCTGCAGGTTCGTAGTTCCTGTTGTTTTTGGTGTCTGTCCCCAGTGGCTAAGGTTGGTTCAGTGGTTTGTGTAGGTTTCCTGGTGGAGGGGACTAGTGCCTGTGTTCTGGTGGATGAGGCTGGATCTTGTCTTTCTGGCGGGCAGGTCCACATCTGGTGGTGTGTTTTGGGGTGTCTGTGGACTTATTAGGATTTTAGGCAGCCTCTCTGCTAATGGATGGGGTTGTGTTCCTGTCTTGCTAGTTGTTTGGCATAGGATGTCCAGCACTGTAGCTTGCTGGTCGTTGAGTGAAGCTGGGTGCTGGTGTTGAGATGGAGATCTCTGGGATATTTTCGCCATTTGATATTATGTGGAGCTGGGAGGTCTCTAGTGTACCAGTGTCCTGAATTTGGCTCTCCCACCTCAGAGGCACAGCACTGACTCCTGACTGCAGCACCAAGAGCCTTTCATCCACACGGCTCAGAATAAAAGGGAGAAAAAGTAGAAAGAAAGAATTAGTAGAAGTAGAAAGAGAGAGAGAGAGAAAGAAAGATAGAAAGAAAGAAGGGAGGGAGGGAGGAAGGAAGGGAGGAGGGAAGGAGGGAAGGAAGGAAGAAAAGAAAGGAGATAAAGTAAAATAAAATAAAGATAAAATATAATAAAGTTATTAAAATAAAAAATAAGAGAAAAAAATTAAACTAAAAAACGGACGGATAGAACACTAGGACAAATGGTGGAAGCAAAGCTATACAGACAACATCTCACACAGAAGCATACACATACACACTCACAAAAAGAGGAAAAGGGGAAAAAATCATAAATCTTGCTCTCAAGTCCACCTCCTCAATTTGGGATGATTCGTTTTCTATTCAGGTATTCCACAGATGCAGGGTACATCAAGTTGATTGTGGAGCTTTAATCCGCTGCTTCTGAGGCTGCTGGGAGAGATTTCCCTTTCTCTTCTTTGTTCTCACAGCTCCCAGGTGCTCAGCTTTGGATTTGGTCCCGCCTCTGCGTGTAGGTCGCCGGAGGGCGTCTGTTCTTCGCTCAGACAGGACGGGGTTAAAGGAGCCGCTGGTTCGGTGGCTCTGGCTCACTCAGGCCGTGGGGAGGGCGGGGCACGGAGGGCGGGGCGGGCCTGTGGCGGCGGAGGCCGGCGTGATGTTGCACCAACGTAAGGCGCGCCGTGCATTCTCCCGGGGAGTTGTCCCTGGATCCCGGGAACCTGACAGTGGTGGGCTGCACAGGCTCCCCGGAAAGGGGGTGTGTATAGTGACCTGTGCTCGCACACAGGCTTCTTGGTGGCGGCAGCAGCAGCCTTAGCGTCTCATGCCTGTCTCTGGGGTCCGCGCTTTTAGCCGCGGCTCGCGCCCGTCTCTGGAGCTCCTTTAAGCAGCGCTCTTAATCCCGTCTCCTTGCACTCCAGGAAACAAAGAGGTAAGAAAAAGTCTCTTGCCTCTTCGGCAAGTCCAGACTTTTCCCCGGACTCCGTCCCGGCCAGCCATGGCGCACTAATCCCCTGAAGGCTGTGTTCACGCCACCAACCCCAGTCCTCTCCTGGCGCTCCGACTGAAGCCCGACCCTTAACTCCCAGAGGCGCCCGCCCCGGCGGGTGAGCAGACAAGCCTCTCGGGCTGGCGAGTGCCGGTCAAACCTGATCCTCTGTACGGGAATCTCTCCGCTTTGCCCCCCGCACCCCTGTTGCTGTGCTCTTCTCCGCGGCTCTGAAGCTTTCCCCCTCCGCCACCCGCAGTCTCCACCCACGAAGGGGCTTCCGCGTGTGTGGAAACTTTTCCTTCTTCATAGCTCCCTCCCACTGGTGCAGGTCCCGTCCCTATTCTTTTGTCTCTGTTTATTTTTTATTTTGCCCTACCCAGGTACGTGGGGAGCTTCTTGCCTTTTGGGAGGTCTGAGGTCTTCTGCCAGCGTTCAGTAGGTGTTCTGTAGGAGTTGTTCCACGTGTAGATGTATTTCAGGTGTGTCTGTGGGGAGGAAGGTGATCTCCGCGTCTTACTCTTCCACCATCTTCCCGGAAGCCTCCCCGGCAAAACACATTTTAAGCAGAATTCCATAGGCTGAAAAGGCAAGATTTCTTTAAAGGACTAGATTTGCTGCAACCTCTTTTTTTTTTTCTTTTTTTTTTTTGCAGTACGTGGGCCTCTCACTGTTGTGGCCTCTCCCGTTGCGGAGCGCAGGCTCAGCAGCCATGGCTCACAGGCCCAGCCATTCCGCGGCATGTGGGATCTTCCCGGACCGGGGCATGGACCTGCATCGGCAGGTGAACTCTGTGCTCCGCAACGGGCTAATGATCTTGTCTTTGCTGAGTGCACCTGACTTGCCTCCCATTAGTTCTGAGCCAAAGAAAAATAATTATTTCTTTCATATCCATGAATGTGTAAACTTTGTTCCACCCTCTCCCAAATAGGAGAAGAATATATCCCACTTTAATATGCTCCAAGTTAATAAGAATGAGAGATTGTTGCATATGACTAATCAGCATGAGGTTCAACCCATAAGCATTAATTGATTTTATAATAATTCCTGTGAAAGTCAGTATGGTACCATTGAGGAAAGAATTAGATTTAATATCAGCCAAACCTCAGTTGATATTCTAGTTCTAATACTAGTTGTGTGAACTTGATCAAGTTCCTTAAATTTGGGGGTCTTATCTGTAATGTGAGGTTAGCAATATCTACCTTCCAGTGTTGTTATGATGATGAAATAATTGATATATGTAATGCACATCTTACATAGTGTTCCATAAATTATGATTTTTGTACTGGAAAAACTGAAGTTTCATCTTCACTGATAGTTGTATTACCTTTCTTCTGATAAACCTCAGATGCCTGCTACTTATTTTGTCCCCTTTGGACATTTGCTAAAGATTTGATGGTTATTCAGCTCTCTGGTGAGAAAATCTTTATACAAAGATTGCCATACTTTGTACCATGCTACCCTGCCTTTCTGGCCAACATTTGATTGGTCTATAACCAGCTGACTGATCAAAGAGCTAGTAGCCTACGGCTTAGTGTAGGGATTAGACAAGAGTACAAAAAAAGCCACTTGTATCTTTCTGTGAGGGAATTTTTAATGTGACGCTCACAAAAATGTTTCTTCTTCTTTCCTATTTTCCAGTATACCCTCATAATAAATCCCCATTATTTGCATTTTGCCTGAGCGTGTCTCTGTTCATCCAGTGCAACTGAAAAGATAACATATAACGCAGTTCTTCCTTTCATTTCATTAATAATATGGTACCCATGTGATATTGTTAACGGTGAACATTTTTTCCTGTTAAAGAATGGTATTAAAGACCATTGTCTACTTTACTTTCAAGGAATAGAATGGCATCACTGGGAATTCCCCCAGAAGCACAAGAACTAGATATGAAGGATAAAACTGCCCACTGGTCCAGGTTCCTGATAAAATTACTATGTAAGTATCTAATGCTTATCTCATTTAGTATCAGAGTAAATGGTAACTGGGGGAAAAAATGATGGATTAGTTTAGCTGTGAAGTGTAATGGTTGCACAATTATATACAGTGCCACTAAGTGGAAATTTTAACCATAATCACTTTCAAGGGAGATAAAATTTTCAAATAGCCTCTTTGGAAGATTACTTAATTCATGTCTATAAATTATGTTAAAGGTAAAAAGCATTATTTAAATGTTACAGTATCATCTAATGTGCCTCAGAGAATTTAATTTATGTGCAAAATGACAATTACCAGTTTCTAATTAAATAGTAAGAGAGAATAATAGTCTAATGCTTTGAGGATAGGCGTGCAGTCCTTGATTCCTAGAATCCAGATCTAAGTTTATTGGTCTTAGGCAACCTCTACTTTTCTGATTAGACTAAATGAAATTTTCTTCTCATGGGATTTGAAAAACGTAAGATCAGAGTGTTTGAATTTACTCTGACATTCTAAATATCATTGTTAATTGATTTTAACAGAGCTAATCAATTGTCTCCTTTAAATCTTAAATTAAAGAAGTTAAGTTAATCCTGTCTCCTTTAGCTCTTAAGACATAAGGTGATGGAGACAAGTAGACACAAATGATTATTTTATTCTCATAGTAATATTACTGTAATCATTCATTTGCTTTCGTATGTATATGCATATGTTTAATATGTATGAATATGAAAAATGATTAAAATAGGATGTAAAAAGTTGTATATAATATTCTCTTTTTTAATGGTAGACCGATAAAAAATCTCTATAGTGAATTTCATGTTTTAATTTAACGATGGTATTAATACTTTATACTGTAAATCTACCAGCTAACAATTATCTGCATTATAGCCTTATTTAAGAATCAACTTAGAATGAAATAGAGCTGTATTTAAACTGAAGGCTTGACATTTTCTTATCCTCAGCTCATGGTTATTTATTCTCAGCTTCAGTAGCAAGCCAGAGTATGCGATTAACTAATTCATTCATCCATTCCATAAACTATTATTGAAACCCTCCTGTGTGTCCTGGATATTCTGCTAAATTTAGAGAATGCAGAGAAAGTTGGATCTCATCTTATGCTCAAATATTTTCCTCTCCAGGGAAAGGGATGCATACGTAGGTGAAGTACACCAATGCCTCAGGTTTTGAAGATAGTATATGCACTATACATTATGGGAGAATAGATGAAATACCTAACCAAGTCTGGGAAAGAACAGAGAAGACTTCCTGAAGTGTGTTTCCTGAATGGAGTATTAAAGGATAAGTAGCTGTTAGCCAGGGGATGTGAGGCAGGGATGTAGTGAGCACATTCCTGTGAGATGGAGCAGTTTTAGCAAAGGGGAAGATATAATGTTAATTTGGGGTATGCTGTAATGGTGTGTGTTTAAAAAGGGACCACTAGAACGTGAGGTCAGGAAAAGGCGGGAGCCAGGTCAAGATGGATCTTGCAGGCTAAGCTAAAAAACGTGGATATAATCGAATAAATCATGGGTTGCGGAGGGTTTATTTTGTTTTTTTGGTTTTTTTCTCCTCAAGGAACCACTCATCACATACTTTTTCTCTGTAAGAACATTCAGTATCCTGCAATGACAAACATACCTTTGGTCTCATGGCTATGAAGAGAGGAGGATCTATACATTCTGGCTCCCCAGAAAGTATATACCCTAATTAGAGCTCTGGACTGAAAGTTACCTTTCATATTTCCTAAAAGAAAGATGCATCCTGATGGGTTAGGTAGTTCTATTAGGCAATGTCTCAAGGATATCAATCTAATTATCTTACCACTTACTATTCCATCTACTATTATACACTACATGCATATTTACATGCATGCATTAACAGATTCAACAAGCTAATTGATAGCCAAGTTCAGTGGTAGGATAGAAACTGTAAATTATCTATGTAAAAGAGTGATGTTTTATTTTTTTTGCGGTACGCGGGCCTCTCACTGTCGTGGCCTCTCCCTTTGCGGAGCACAGGCTCCGGACGCGCAGGCTCAGCGGCCATGGCTCACGGGCCCAGCCGCTCCGCGGCATGTGGGATCTTCCCGGACCGGGACACGAACCCGTGTCCCCTGCATCAGCAGGTGGACTCTCAACCACTGTGCCACCAGGGAAGCCCATGAGTGATGTTTTTATGTTGAATAATCAGGCATTATATATTATAGGAGAAGGCCTTCTTCTGAACCTGGAAGCAAATTTTCATTATCTTACTTCTTATCTTACTTACTCACCCCCAAGGAGTCAGAAAACTGTAGTTAACTTTTAGAATAAATTTAACTGTACAATTCCTTAGGGTCAGAGGAAACTCCAATAGTAATTAGCAACCTAATTACCTAGGAGGCCTATACATTAAGTTCAGGATATGGAATTACCAGAAGAACCTGAAAAGAAATGGAAGGTTATTCCAAGTTATGTCTCATACTCTGAGTTTTTTTACTCTTAATTGGGAGAGCCATTGCCTTCTGTACACATGAAGCTCCAATTAATCTTCAGGTAGTGTTTAAGTAATGTGCATGTCAGTCCTACTTAGAGGATGATAATCTATCATAAACGGCTAAGTTTGTCTGAAAATAAAGCAAGAAGCTTCATTTCATGACCTTTTAATTTCTGTTAAGTTAAAATAATCTTTAGGGAATAAATTCACTTACATTATCTACAAAATGGAGAGTATATGTCCCAGTTAATTTTGATGGCATGGTAATTCATTGAGATGTAAAATTGTGGATGTTTGGGAGGGTATACTATTTTTTCCAGTGTTCTGGAAGAGCCCCATTACCATCCAATTCCAAAAAAGTGTTTCTTCTTCTTAGTCTCAGGAGCGCTTTCAAGCCCTAAACATAGACCACTAGCTATTGTCAGGACGACCACACATGTCAGTTTTCCTGGGATAATATGATGCTGTCAGTGCTCTGCCCATACCCCCTCAGATCTCTTTTTTCTCATCTTTGCAAATGGAAGCTCCCAGTGTGGCTTCTGTGCCAACAGCTAGCACTTGTGTCTCTTTGTGGAAATTCTGCCCTCAGACTCCTATGATCGATCTCCTTTGCCTGAGTACCCAGAAAGATGCAATTGCCTGGAAATTTATATTCATCCAGAGCTGTGCTCCACCAGTGACTGATGGATATGGAGGTTTAAATATACTTTGTCCCGTGGCCCTCCCAGGTGTGATCCATATTCTTTCACTCTCCCAAGACCTCTTGGGTAGGTTTGCCAAATTTAGCAAATAAAAAACAGGACAGCCAGCAAGGAATTGTTTTTTGGTATAAGTATGTCCCACGCAATGTTTGGAACATACTTATACCATAAAAAATTAATTATTGTTTAATTTAAAATCCATTGTAACTGGATGTCTTGTACTTTATCTGGTAAGTGCACTACCATGGGACTTCACTGATGCAGCATTCTTGCTAGGCCTCTTTCCCATCACAGTTCTACTTCCCCACTCCTCTACCAGGTTTTCCTGGGAATACATCCTAAGAAATCACTTTAATATAAACCAGAGTCTGCTTCTGGGGAGCCTAATCTAAGACAGCCAGCTGTATTTGTTGCCTTCTCATGATTATTAATACCTCTTACCCCCAAAATGCTCTGGTTTGGATGACGAATTATGCGGTCACTCGAACTATTATAAGACAAAACTGATTGAGGACATTATGCTGTGTTCTCAAGAAATATATGGAACATGATGAATTAGCGATTAAGGGGTGGGAATTGGAAACATTATTATAGGGAAGAGCAGGCTTGGTCTAAGGTCTATGGTTTCCAGAACAAGTGGGGATAATAAGTCAGGCTCTTGCAATATCCCGGAGAAGTTGGAGGATATTGCCTATTTACTGTGACTGAGAGGCTTGATGGTAGACATCAGGGTTTTTGTCCTTATCAAATATATGCCCTACACCCAAATATATCATAGAAATAGTGGAACAATCAGACTACAGAAGCTGTGCAGTTATGGACGGTGTTCCATATCAGCAAACAGAGAGTACTGATGTGAAGGACGTTCAGTGCCTTCACATGGCCCCGAGCTGCGTATGGATTAGCCCTATAATAATCTAAATTAAATTTCCCATTAATCACAAAAGATGCAAATAAGTCATATTTAACTTGCTTCAAATAAAACTTTTTTTGTACGTCCCTGTTTGTATCGGGGTGGCCAAAAGATTTGTTCAGGTTTTTCCGTAAGATGTTGAAGCTAATAATTTTTACCTTTTTAAGTTTTAGTTGTAACTTCTTCCAAGCATTTAAAGTGTCAACCCAAGAAGTTTTGTATTTATTTGAAATTTGTCATATGAATCTAATTTCTAGATTTATAATCTAGATAATGTACAGGATCATTTTGATATTAACTTCCAGTGATCTCAAATAGCCATGAAAGTAAGACAAGTATTTCAGGAGGAGAAACGTACAGACTTAGCATGTGACTACCCTTGCAGGATTTAAAATTAAATGTGACAATTAAATTTCAGTCACTATGCTATCATGCATTCATAAATTGAAAAATCACATATAAAGCTGAAGTCAAATATTAGATTCACCTTTACTTAATGGAAATATAAGTGAGATGAACAGGATGGTATTAAACATATAACAGCAAAGAGTGTATTTTCCAGTGCTTTAAAAAATGAGCTGTGTTCATCAGTTTCCTTGGCTGAATTAGTAAACATAACCCCAACTTTTAAATGCACTTAATTTTCTATTGTCAGTACTTTCTCAATGAAGAAATAAAATTTAGAAATTAGAAGACATGATGAATAGCCTTTATTCTAAGGTCAGAGATATGATACCCAAAGCTAATGGAAAACATAATTCTAAGCCATAGCAAATGAGCCCTACCTACATAACAAACTGCTGATATCAGCCTGGAAGCCATCTTGAATGTCAAGGGATATGCTCTTCATTTACAGTGTTTGATTGTTCATATAAATATTTAATGAAAATATTATTAGACTATTCAGCTGAGTGAAATAAACTGATGGC